CCCCCCCCCAGTGCCGTGTGTTACTGACTGTATCCCTACTGATGTCAATCCCTCTCCCTCACACTTTCACTCAGTAACCCCTCTCTGTTATAAGGAAGTGAGAGAAAGGTGGGGGGAGAGGGGAGAGAGGGGGGGGATGCAGACAGGCACAGAGCTGTGTATCAGACAGAGGATCACCACAGTGAGACAGAGGGCTGGATAGAGTTGAGAGAGAAAGAGAGAGGGGGGGTGGAGAGTATTCCAGGTTCCTGCAGAGACAAGAGGGAGGGAGAATGTGGAGAGAGGGGTTAATGAGTGAGAGAGAAAAGACACAGAAGGTAGACAGAGAGACACAGGGTGAGAGAAAGGGAGAGAAAAACAGTTGAGACAGAGAGCCAGAAGGTGGGAGAGCAATTGGGGATGGGGGTGGGCGAGAGAGAGACAGGGAAGGAGAGGGAGAAAGAGAGGGAGAGAGGCAGGGAGGGAAGGAAGGAGGGAGCAAGAGAGTGGGTGGACAGATAAATACAGAGGGAGAGACACTGATAGAGAGGGAGAGGGGTGGAAGGAGAGAGAACATGGACAAGAGAAATGGAGGGAGAGAGCATTGGAACGGAGAGAATCAGAATTGAGGGAGGGAGAGAGCGAGCGAGAGCAAGAGAGCGACAAAGAGCGAGAGACAGAATGGAGTGAGGGAAACAGAGAGAGAGAGCATGAATGGAGGGTAGGGGGGGAGTGGTGGGGGAGGAGTGCAGTGCACTGAGCTGACCCACACTAAGTTGTTTCTGTTGCCAGTTGCTCCCATCAGCACCGTCAGCCAACTCCCACCTCACCCTCACTCTGCTGCTCCAGGGTCCGGTAGGGGATTGAGACAGGATTGCATCCCCCCCCACCCCCGAAGCCCCCAATTCCACGCACCCCCCAACTCCAACGGTGACTCCGAATTCCCGACACGGGTGCTGCGTCGATGGGGCAGGAATCCTGAGCGCTGCCAGGGGAACTCACCACTGATAGTCCCTTCTGATAGACCCAACTCCCACCCCTCACGCTGTTGTTGTACGGGAGGAAAACGGAAACACAAACAGGACAAGACGTGAGCAAAATCCCGCCACGCCAGCTGGGCGCCACCCCACCCCTCCGTCCCCCGCCGCAAACCGAACCCCACGCCGAACTCCCCCCGCAGCCCCGACCGGTGGCCGGAGGGTGGAATTGCGGACGTGACGTGTTTACACAGGC